AAATCAATCCTAAATTATTAACCTGAATTCAACTCGAGTTCGACCGAATTAAATTCAGGCAGTGCTCGGGTTGAGTTTCTCAATCCGACGTAGGGTTAGGCTTAAAGTTAGAGTTGAAGATTATATATTTAAGATTGAGTGTCCAACTTGTCCAACTCACCCGAGTTGCACTCCTATCTTCATGCAAAAAAGTCTATTGTACCAAAAAAACTTTAATAGGAGAAATTATAGTTGGTCATATGATCAATTTTAAACACTTATAATTAATCATAAACTCTCGATATCAATCATAATTTTTTAAGATCGATTATATCTTTTTTAACACACGTGCAAGCGATCCAGACAACCATCATATATATCTCCTCTCTCCCCCACAAGATACTGAAAATGTCCAGCATCTTGTTGAAGAACTTCCACCTCTGCATCCCCAAATTGAGCTGCTTACGCACAGCTCTATCCCCACCTTCAGATCAAAACCACCACACCTCATCCATCAACTCCATCACACCAAACCTAATGAAAAACTTCAATGCCCTCTACGAACTCACCTCGGACTCCAGCTCCAAGTCTCTCACCTCTTCCACAGATGACTTCTTCACTTCATCAGACTACTCCGACCCTGAAAACTTACCGGACATCACCACCGTTTTCGCCTCTCAACGCTTCTTTTTCTCCTCCCCCGGCCGCTCCAATTCCATCGTTGAATCACGGGAATCCGCGACGGAGTCTGACCCGGTAGTTAACGGCGGTGTCGCCGTTCATACATTCTCGCCGGACCCATATTGTGACTTCCGGAGATCAATGCAGGAGATGGTGGAAGCACACCAGCTGACTGACGTAAAGACTGACTGGGATTTGTTGCATAAACTTCTCTCAAGTTATTTAACTCTGAACCCTAAACACACCCACAAGATCATTGTCCGTGCTTTCGCAGATCTTGTCATTTCTCTCATCATGTCATCAACAACTACCAACAGTAGCCGGAAAACTGAAGACCAACACCAGTACTGTGCCACATCACGGCGGCTGGTGTGAATCTCTTTCTCTCTCCTGCCCTTTTCTTTTCTGTCCTCTTTTTTGGGTTACCCATGGAATGGCGAGAAAGATATGCTTTTTTTTTTCTTAGCCAAGGAAGGCATGGGAAGTACAGGCCTCGATGGATGTAACTTTCTAAGTTACTTTTATGTCAAGTCCTAAGTACTGATTAAATTTTGACGTTCTATCAAATATCTCTCTCATGTTAAATCTTAATATATCACAAATTTTTATTCATATTTTACATAAAAAATAATATTACATGAATTTAAAAATTAAATTTAAAAATTATATTAATTGAATTTAATGTGGGTCTCAGTATTTATTAGGACCCACAATAAAATTAATAACTGTAATTATCAAATCTAATTTTTAAATCTATGTAGCATTACTTACATTAAATTTAAAATATAACATTTGACATATCGGTTGAAGTGTAAGGTGAAGATGTCAAATATTATATGTCCAATTGTCACGTAGACTTTTAAATTTAAATTTGATATATAACATTTGACATTTGTCTCGGTTATTGGCAATAAACACTTGCCAATGTAAAATTAAATATTGATTGCACAATATATTATATTTTAAAAATAAATTAATTATTTTAATTATGCACCTTAAAACTAGAGTGAATAAAGAGAAAATAAGGGGGGGAATTGTGTAAATTAATGGGATTATTTGACATTAAAGATTGTATTGATAGAGTTATTCAACATTGAAAGCCGAAATGATATTTTTGAGTTGAAAAAAAAAATTAGAATAAATTTTGTATTATTGTATTAAAATAAATAAAATTAGATCAATTTTAACTGTTAAGAGCATCTTCAACTCTTACTCAAATTTAGACGCAAATTGAAATTTAAGTAAAAAAATTTAAAAAATTTGCTACAATCTTTGACTCAAACTTATATCAAATTAAAAAAAACTAATTTTTTTACTCAAATAAAAGGAGACTCAAATTTTTACTTAAATTTTTAATGGTGAGATTTCACCATCTTTTAAAGATCTAATGGTTATCCTTACTCCCTTTTAAATTTGGATTTGCTCTCATTTAAATTTGGATCTATCCTTCTTTAAATTTGAGTTTGTCCATTGGAGTGTTTTATATCAAATAAAATTTTTTATTCAAATATTAATTTAAATTTGAATAAAAATTTGAATCAGGGTTGAAGATGTTCTAAGAGACGGATAAAAGAGGATTCAAGCAAGATTTCAAGTGAGAATCCGATAATTTGTGACTTCTGAGTCATCAATTATATCCTCTATGAAAATGGTAAATCAATTCGGAGAATTTAATCTAGCTATTAAAATTCAATGCAAACAATTCAAAAGAAAGACATAGCATGTAACTCTCTGGAGCGACTATCAGCACATCTATAATCGTTGGATTAATCTATAAAGTCAACGGTAATAAATTAATAACTGTTATATGAATAAATTTGAGACTGTAAGATGTATTTTAAGATCAGTCATAATCGTTAACTTTTTGGGAGAGGAAATATTAAGGAAAAAAATTATAATTTCTTGACCGTTGGATAAATAAATTTGAGACCGTAAGATCGACTTGTTAAATCCATCCTATTTTATATTTTATATATATATTCTTATTTGGGCCCGTTGTAATGATTTATGAAAAAAAAAAATTAATTGGGTCAAATAAGTTGGATACAAGGACAAAACAAAAAAAAAAAAAATTCATACCAAATCTCTTAAAATTATCAAACTAAAATTGATTTCTTAGAAATTCCTTTGATTCAAAAATTGTGGAATATATAACAAAAAAAAGAGTAAAATATAAAATTTGTAAGAAAATTAAATATTATAGAATATTACTTTTATTTGTGTCAACCGTCAAATATATAATATTAAATATGATAAACTTCAATAAGTCTATTCGACAGTCTCAAATAAATTTATGTAACGACCTCCATCACTTTAACTAAAATGAGTTATAAATTTAAATATGTTAAGTTTAAATTTTTACAATTTTTTAAGATTAGATCATGAGGGATTTATCCCTCATGAATATCTTAATTGCGGCATAGATGATTTATTTTTGATTAGATTGAAGAAGAGATTAATCGAGGTGCGTATAAGTTAATCCAAATATCTCTTACGGTTGATTTCAAATATTATCTTTAAAAAAATATTATCATACTATACGAAAAAAAATTTTTAAAAAATTATAACCAACTTAATTGGTTCAAGTTATGATTTGAAGAAATTCCAATAATTTTGCTAGAGTAACTAAATTTTGAGACTGATTCTAAAAGTACCCTAATCTATCTTAGAGCCTTGGAATCAACTCCATCATTTTAAGATTGATTCTAAGTGATTCATTGAGTTATACTTAATCTGTTTAAGTCGTAACTAAATATTATATAATTGCAAACTAACTAAAAACAGTGTCGCAAACAGCATTCACAAACTCATTTACTTCAAACAGTACTGTTCAAAAAAAGTAACAGAAAGATAGAATGATCTGGGAAACTTGTTTGCTCCTGTAGTACTGCAATGTTTTGTTTGTAGCTCTTTGTTTCAGTTTTGTTGGCCTCTGATACTTCGTTGTCTCATTCAATTTCCTGGGTTAGCTTCTACCTTGGGAATGGTTTTCTTTCAAATCTGAAAATATCTAAGTACACTTTGGCCTCATTATTATAATTTCAAAAACAGTACCAAATTATTTATCAAAATTTATATTTCAAACCAGTGTCAGTGATTGAATCAGCGAGATTCACTAAATCCACCAAAAATTTAATGTAAAAGATTTTGACATATTATTTAGTATACAAAATTTGGTAAACAAATTTGGGTAGCATAATTTTATCATTTTCGATTTTCGAAAGATGTTTTCTAAACATCTACAATAGACTCTTTTTTTTTATTCAATTCTCTGTTTTAAAGAATTAACTACCAAAAATCAAATGCAAATCCACTATTTATTTAAACTAACTAAAATAGATAGTCTTATTTGACTCTCTACATTTTCAAAGTCTAACTCACTCTCTATTCTATTTTGAGCAATGTTACATGAATTTAAAAAATAAACTTGATAATTATAACAATTGATTTTATTGTGGGTTTCAACATTTATCAAGACTCACTATCTATTCAATAGTTATAAGAGTAATGCTACACTGACCAAATTTTGGGACTAAATTTAGAGCTCAAATGATATGACAATTGATTATTTGAAATTTTTATTGGAGCCCAAATGACATGATACCAATCAAAAAAGCCCAAGTCAACCGCCATGTCATTTGGGCTCTAAATTTAGTCCAAAAATTTGATCAGTCTAGCATTACTGTAGTTATAAAAGTAATGAATCATTACTCTTCTATTTTACATAAACATTTGAAAATCTCACAGCCTCCTGAGGTGCTACCACTTCCTAAGGGAAAAGCACGGGCAGAGAATATATGCAAATTACCAATGATGTGGCTGTATATCTACTCTTTTTGCTACAAGTGAAGGCCATTTTTGGTTGATAAAGTTTTCCTCTTTTTATTGTTACAAGGTGTTTAAATTTGTGCCGACTACTCTCTCAAACTCAGTGATTGCCACCATGGCTTGAATTGAGTTAGAGCATATCCCTAAAGAACAAGAGTGACTAGCCTTTAGAGAATGAGGAAAACAATTGAACCTGAAACCTTCAAATTACAGAGGTCAAGCTCAACTATTGAACGTTTTCCTTGGTGCTTCCTTGAACTTACTAAATAATATCTTACATTTTCCTTGGTGCTTCCTTGAACTAACTAAATCATCTCTTACAGGTTCTGCTATTGATCAAATGGAAACAGAAATTCACAAAATGAAAAGGTGACCATAGTGCAACAGTGAACTATAAACATGTAGTGATTCAACAATACAAAGCCGAAGCACTCATAATTCATCTACATTACTCTCATTTACCACGTTGAAGACAATTACATGTAAACGAACTCAAACAACACAACATCGATCTATTCATTTGCACCAGCAGGACCGACAAGGACTCCCTGTGCAGACCCTTCCTTTCTGCCATTCTCATTCATTACTTCATCATCAGCTTTTCTGATCCTAATTTTGTATTTAGCTTCAAATTCATTCATTTCTTTTTTCTTCTTTTCCAAGGCCTCATTAAGCCGAGCAATAACCTCTTCAAGCCCCTCCTTATTGCGCTGAACAGCTGGTAAGACCTCTTTGATGGTTCTCTCCACAAGCACACCTCCAATCATCCGGTAGCACCGCCTTGATGGATCAAGTGGTTGTATGGCACTAATCACCAAAGAGTGCTCACTAACTTCCATCTCTAGTTCAGTAATTTTCGAGTAAATTTGGTCGATTTCCGCCCTCATGGCACCATACATGTTGGCGACCGCTTGCTCATTTATTGGTTCCTCACCTTCAAATTTGCCAGCCATGATTCTAGTCGAACAAAATGGAAGAATCTATCAACCAACATTCTCATGTTTCTACAGGTCAAATATTTAACAGCAATTATGCCAAATAATATGAAAGAAACTGGGGTATCTCAAGTTTACAAACGAATAACCTGCATCCTATCACTTAATTTGAGTATTACAAGTAATGATAATTTCCAAATAGACAGATTTCTAAGAGTTGACAGAGTGTTAAATAGGTTTTGTCAAGTGAGAAGGTTGTGTTTTGGGTGCCCCGCCACGCGAGGGTTCCTCATTATCAGATTTGGTGGCAGATAGTTCATTACATATTTTCCATATACTGATGTTGGCGAAAAAAAGTATCAGAATCACTGCAACAGGCAAATATGAATTGTTCACTAAAACCATTAAGCCAATTAATGTTGGAGCTCACAAGATATCTGTTATTCACCATGTTACATATATTTGAGAGACAAAAAAGATAGCTATGGATGCAAGGCCTATATTCGCATTGAAAAGAATTTGCTGAGAACGTGGTAGTGGCAATCATCTGGTACGAAAGCTAGGAATCGGGAAATTCAGCCGCAAGGGATTGAGCTCTCCGTTTGGAGGCAGAACAACATTAGAAGTTTTGAGGCGTATGACAGCTAGCGGTTTGGGGGAAATACCGATTTCTCAATAACATAGAATAAACAAGCTTGCTTAGATTAGAACTCCCCCACGAACAATTACGCACGTCCACCCCCTCTCTTCCTGGAGTACTGATTCCTCCAATATAAATCAATGTTCCCAAATGATTTAGCAAGCATAGATATCATTCAGAGGAAGCTTTCATCTGCAGGATATATAACACCCATGCCTTGGCAACACACCCTTATAGAACTTGGTAAAATCCTTATGGATTGATAACTAAAAACTCTCTTATACAGAATAAGACGTATGTGCATGAAAATGGAGCCCCTAAATGACCCATAGCTAGGGGGGGAAATCAATATCCAAAACCCACAGAGATAGCATAGAAAAAACAACAAACTAGTATTTGTCTTTCAATATTTTTCGTCCTTTAAAACCCTAATAAGGATTTTAACCATAATGTTTTTATCAAAGCACAGTACAATACACAACTTTTACAGATGATTACAAAGACAAAATTCACATCTATACCCCATGTAAAATGCTTATAAGTTATAACAACTCTTACTCAATTTTATTTTTTTTTTAGGTTTTCAAGGGGGATTCAAATTCCCACCTTTGTATTGCTACATCTTGTCTAGCTAATAGATTGTGAATCGAACTTATTTCTTGTTTTCCAGTTGTTTCTACTAATTTGATTCCCCAAAACTAATTCCTAATTGCTTGAAGGTCCTTAGGGCCTCATTTTATGCTTTGGCCTCTCATCACCGGCGGTGATAGATTGGGTCGGTGCCAGGCTGTGGAGAGTCCAGGCTTAGGGCTTTGACTAGAAAAGAAAGAGGTAGGAAAAAGGCCTTACCTGGAAGTCGTCGGAGCTGCTATGGCCGCTTTGGTGGTCAGTGATCGCCGGCGCTGTAAAGGGAGAGGTGAGAGAGAGAGAGAGGGGCAGAAGATTGACGACACAAGCGGTAGATTAGGGCAATTAAACTATTAACAGGGGCTTGTTCTGTATTTTAATAATGTTATTAGGAGTCAAATTATACCGCCCAAATGTTTTCGTTATTCTATTTTAGCCCACTTGCTTTAATTCTCCTCCGACATGTTCCACAAGCTTGGTGACCTGCTTCAGACACAGCAGTAACACTGGTTACTAACAGAAGTACCACTTGTAAAATAAGTTGTAGTCCAAAGCTTTAAAAGTTATGAATTTTAATTCGATAAAATTTTTGTTGAGTTAAGTTGAGAATAAAAATAACGGGATTGAATGCATCGTATGATAGGGGCATAACGGCTATCATTTCCACACTCTTACGAGTTCACAAAAATGCCAAAAATAAAAAATATGCATCCACCGAGGATTAAAATTTTATTTTTGTACATTGTTTTGATCACTTAAAAAACAAAAATATTTCGAAAACATTTTGAAAATAGAACAAAAACGCATAAAAAAATTTAAAAAACTTATTTTTAAAACATTTCAAAATATTGGTCAAAATATATAAAACGTCTTGAAAACCTCGACACATCATCAAACATTGGTGGAAAGATGTCAAAATATCTCGCAACACTTGGAAACATCTTGAAATATCTTAAAATATTAAAATTTCAGTTCAATTATTAATTTATTTCGGTAGCCTAAAAAATATAAATATTTCCGTCATTTCAACAGTTTTGAAACAAATTTTTGATCATTGGCACCCACATGATATACAAACTTAGGTTTGATGCATTTTTCAATCAAAAGCAACAATTATAAAAACTTTGAGCAGGTAACTTCGGCCAATTATATTATCCCAACTAAGTCATCTTTTTCTATTTTTCATAATGGAGAAATGTCTCAACGTCCTATCCTATGCGATCTCAAAGACAATGAGACAAACTTAGATGCATAAATCACTTACAAGACAATGAGACAAACTTAGATGCATAAATCACTTACAAATCACGAGCATCGGACATTAGCCACGCTGATTGGACCAGAAAAAGGATGCATAGAAGATGTTAAAGACAAGCATTTGTTGACCGACAGAGAATTGGTCATTTGCAAATTACTTTATGGGCCAAGTATCGGGCAATTCTACTTTCTGTTCCGCAGAAATCATTGCCATTACAAGAAAGGAATTACTTGGATACTGATACCATCGATTATTATTTTTTATAGTAAAATTATAATTTTGAAAGAAATAGTTATAACTGTTTTAAGGAAAAATATTAATCGATCACAGACACCTATCATCAATCATAAACTCTCGGTATCGATCTCAATCTTTCATGATCGAATATGCCTATTAAATTGTAATTTATACCTTTAAAAAATTATAATTTTTGGTACGGTCCGTATCCTTTCCCATTGTATAAATCACAGGGAACAACAGTGAATATCATGCTAAGAAAATCACATCAGTGTGGAGCTAAATTTTGAGAAATTGCTTCAAAGAGAGGCCACAAATGAACCCTCAATTCATACAATGAACAAACAAAAGCATTGGAAATATTATCCTCAGATCAACAGTTCCAGGACAAATCTTAGAGTAGTAAGTTCAGCAACAAGGCAAAAGACATCATGTTGTTCTAAACAACCTTATGAGACATCCAGGAAGAACCAAAGTACTCCTCCTCCTCCAGGAAACCGCACAACTAAACCGTTGAAAAGAGCATTTCACCAATTTTTTTTTTTTTTTTGAGACAAGGAAACAACTCAGGTTTCAAAAGTCATGTTCTCTGCCTCCCGTCTCACTGATTCAAACAGGACAGAGGATAGATACCGCTCCCCAAAGCTTGGAAAAACCACCTGCATAATTACACAGACAAACGGGCAAGATAAATAAGGGTGAAAATTCTAAGTACAAGAAAGGTAATCTATAATATGGTTCAATATTTTCTTCCCCCGTTGTTTGGTCCACCAGTAACATCATCTCCCTAAACTTTAAAAACGTCCACCTAACCTCCTTGGTGTTCTGGACCAAAATGGAACAAAAAGGATTTTCACCCCAAATTGACCGAATGTGCACCAGATGCACTCAAAAAGTGCTGTTGGTTAGGAGGGAGTAGTTTCTCTCGAAAATTGCCGTTTTTTAGTGACCAAAACTGCCCTTTATAGTCAAATTCTACCCTGAAACTTATAAAAGCTGAGATTTGGGATTTGCCTTCTAGCAATTGCTTCTTCATGTTCATCCACAAACTAGCTTTGGATATACATGAAGTTCAGTAGAATCAGTATAATCAGCTTCAAGTATCTAAAAATCTTTCCTATATGTAAAATCCAAAGATAATTAGGTAAGTATTGCCTTCGGGATTAGAGTGTAAATAAAACCACTAATACAGTTCGACAGCTCCATTTGCCCATTCTCGAGCACAGGGGCTATGGACAAAATGGACTGACCCCAACTTTGTCCTTTGTACATCAGTCAGATTACCAAACACAGACATTTCTGGTCCACTAGTCTTAATTTGTGTACAATAATTAAGTCAGGTTGATTAATTATATGCCAAGATATTGTCACACTGGACAATCAGATGGTTCATATGCAACATTATGCCAGCAGTAATACAAGATCGATTCACAATGCAAAAAGGCAATAGTCCATCTACTTTTGGCAAATATCACAATCATGAATGACTGCTTCAACATTATCAAGCTGAGCACCACTGAGAATGCTCCCCCATGGGAAATTAATGTTTTTGTGGAAGATATCAGATACTATGCTAGGTTATATAACTTTAGCTTTCTACACAAGCCTAGAGCCGGTAACAAGGCTGCTCACTGGGTAGCAGCCGCTGCTATGAACAACTCGCTTCCGCTTAGTTGGCTAGGTTCTCCCTCACCCGAGCTTAAGGCTTCTATCTTGACTGATTGTAATTTGGTTTTTCGTACTTCAATGAAATATTTACTTTTGCCTGATCAAAAAAAAAATCTACTTTTGGTTCAGCAATGCCACTCATTCCTGCCTAAAGTAATGTATCTTCTATCAAAATCATAGGCCACCATATCTTTCCCACGGCCTCAAACCATGTTCTACAATAAATTTCTCATTTGCTCAGCCAAATTGTATATTAATTCCAATTTAGAAGGAAAGAACAAACTTACAACAATAAGTTTTCCGGCATTTTCAGGCTTCTTTGCGATCCTAATAGCAGCTGCAGCTGCAGCACCAGATGATATCCCCACCTGCAATAGATTTTTCCATTATCAAAGCTGAAAAGAAGAAATAGGAAATGTGCAGGACAGAACTATAAATAGTGGCATGATGGAAACCCTGTCAGATCTCAGAAAAAACCAAACACTCGAGAAGATTGTGAACTTACCAGCAAACCTTCTTTCACTGCAAGGAGCTTTGCAGTTTCTATGGCTTCATCACTTGAAACCTGAGAAACCACACAAACATGATGCTTAACAGACAAAAAAAACAAACAGAGCAGCCAAAGGTAATTAATAGACCTATAAAAGTTTATAAATAAACAGTAACACCTGCACGCGCACATATAAAAATATTACATTGATCCACTTTGGAGTGTAATTAATAACCAAATAAACAGGAATGGATAATTAGAAACTTTTAGGTCTCACCTGAATAACTTCGTCAACAATATCGACTTGCAAAACAGCAGGAACAAAACCAGCACCAATTCCCTGGATCTTATGTGGACCTTTGGCATCACAAAAATGCAATTCATCAACAACTTAAATTTCCCATGCAAAGTAAAAATAGTTGATATATTTAATAAAAGACATCATCACGTAGAAGTTTAAGGGAAACACATAAATAGGAGCATATAACATTATACATATATATATATATATTGGCTTAACATTCTTTTCATAAATTAATTGGAATTTTAAGCACCAAAAAAACCATTAAACCCAAGCAAAAGCAGTATTGTGTTAACACGAATCGAATATAACAACCAGCAATGGTCAAAATTACCCAGCAGATGATAAAATATAATGACACCCACAAACTTGAAGGAGGCAACCTACTTAGGAAAAGGACCCTAACTAAAATCATGGCCATATAGTCACATATATGAAAGCATGTGACCTTTTACTGCATTTTCTCATGTTTTGGCTATGATGGCAAATTACTAGAACATTTAATTCAAATAAGGTTCTTTATATTTGCACGGTAGGTCATCTGCCTAATGCAATACTAGGACTAAATGTGCGGTCCCTAAAAACATGCAAAGCCCACCAGGTAGACATGCATGCCCAAGAGCTTGAATCTCACATAAGAAGGTAGCAAAAAACATCAATAATATTAAGAGACTATGCAATTGATATTTGGATAGAATAACTGACAATCTAATTGCAAAAGATGATAATGTTAGGCAAGGAAAAACATGTTGATGTTAGGCAGGGAAAAACTGTAAAGCATAAAACATGCTTCAACTGTCGGACGATAGTAAAAAGTTGTATCAAATCCCATAGCCACTTGAAGTCTTGAACTGAAAAACAAGTGTAATACCTCCTAGACAGTAAAATAGTTCGCATGCGGAGGCACTTACTTTCTAGTTATATCATCTGCAATCACCTGAATCTCGAGACATTCTTCAAACCAATTATAGACTTTATTGAAATAGATGGGACCCCTCCTCTGAGAACCTTATATGAGACTTTCAACTCGTACAGCTCAAACAAATGCACCCAAATACTAGTTGCAACTGATGTGTAATAGAAAGTTTGAAACTTCTAACTCTCCGATTCAATCTTCTCTTAGGAAGTAAGAAAAATCTGAAAGTTCTTCTTTGTGGCTATAATACCAAAATATCAAGTTCTCTCATCATTATCTTGATCCTTACGGGCATCTTGAATCCTTTCTTCCCCTATTTCTTCTTCTTTGATTTGCTTTTGTGTGTAATGTGGCTTTTCTTATTTTTTTTCTTTATTATTGATAGGAATCCTCTTGTTAAGACCCTATTAATCCATTAAACCTCAAATTCATAGTTGAACCACGATGATTCAATAAAATAAGCCCAAGGATCTCACGAGTAAGAACCATTAGATTATCACGTGTTCCATGAATAGATATAATGACTAAAAAACCACCAAAGAAAGACTTTTCTTTTGGTTAAAGTAAGCACGAACAAGAATTTGAAAGAATGCACCAAGGTGATTTCCGTGAAATAAGAAGACAGAAAAGAAAGGTGCCAAGTTATTCAAGAAAAACTCACCAGGCTTTCCTCCAGTTAAAACATGACTTTCAGCTGGTTCCACACCATACAGCTAATATTGAAACCCAAATCAGACAACAGAAAAGAATATTTACAGACATAAAATTACAGTTAATGCTGTACCAGACACGAATTATCAATCGCAATTAATCAGAAACAAATACAAGAAAGTCAAGCTAACCTTTATGTCAGGATTCTGCTCTTTAAGGAATTGGCCTGCTCCGGTTATTGTACCCCCCGTACCAATACCAGAAACAAATGCATCAATTTTCCCATTTGAACCTTTCCAGATCTCTGGTCCAGTGGTTTCATAATGTATCTGCATGTACAATAGCAATAATTAACATAACATTTCCAATTAGAAATCACGTCAGCCAAAACTCAAAAACAGTTACTTGATGGGTATACCTTTGGGTTGGCAGGGTTGTCAAACTGCTGAAGTATATAGGCATTGGGTGTCTTAGCCAATATCTCTTCTGCTTTTCGAACCGCACCTATCATTCCCTTAGCTGGATCTGTGAGCACCAACTCAGCACCAAAAGCACGGAGAATAATTCTTCTTTCAAGACTCATCGAAGCTGGCATTGTAATGATAAGTTTGTAACCCTTAGCTGCTGCCATGAATGCCAAGCCTATGCCAGTGTTACCACTCGTTGGCTCAATGAGTACACTCTGCAGCCACAGTTGACAAAAAAATGTTTGATTCATTTGTTTTATCAGCTAAAAAAGATTCTGCCAATATATGATAGATGGTAATCAGAACAAAGTCATGGTCATCGCCAAAAGGTTCCAAACCAAACCCGATCCATTTAGAGCACCGCTGATTACATGGATTCCATCACTAAAGCATCAATAACATTTGCAATGTACACTTCTTGATACATGTGTGTGTGCGCTCATGTCAAAAACATACCCTAATGGACACATTGGCCATGAGTATAACTAAACCATTTTCTCAACATAGACCCAAAATAAGATCTAGTGAGCCACATGAACACTAAAATTTGAGAATATACACATATCACATCTACTGAGGGTCTCATCATACCAATAACAATTACTTACCTCTCCTGGTTTGATAAGGCCCTTTTCCTCAGCATCTGCAATCATACTATAACCAATCCTGCTCATCAAAATTTAAGACATATAAGCAAATTATTTTCAAAATTCAACCAAAAGTGCAGTCCCAGTTCTTGGAAGTGTAAGTGTGATTACAACCAATGCGTCAAACACACAATTTGCCATCCTAACCCAGCATATGAGCAGATCTTGACTAAAAGCCAGGTCTATTGGTGGATAGATAGCATCCCTCAGTCTGCTATGACAACAAAGAAAACTCCACACACTAGTCTTATATAAATCCAAAAGGAACCTCAATAAATACCTGTCTTTAACACTAGAGCATGGCTCCATCATTTCAAGCTTGGCCGCAATACGTGCAACACAACCATCCGCAACATGGTTGAGAAATACCAATGGGGTTTTACCAATCAACTGTATATCAAAGTAACAAAGATGAAAAGATTGATCAAACCAAGCTGCTTAAGAAAGAAATTTTTGTAAAAAGACAAAAGAAAATAGATACAGACGTACTTCAGTAACATCCTTGGCAATTCCAATCTTTTCGTCTGCCATCTTTCCAGATTAATTCTGAAACCAAATAAACAAGAAACAAAACTTTCTCTCAAAGTCTACAGCTGCGTCACTTCTTAAAGTTTTCTATAGTAGAATGAACCCACAAAAACACACATATGCATATAGATATATATGTGTGTATATATATATATATACCTTTACAACCTTCCTCAGGAACTGAGAGACAAACTCTCAAGCAATTATATACAAATTATTCATTTGTATAGATGGCAAACTTTCTAATTCAGAAAAACCAAGACGGATAAAATAATATTTCTTTCACCACCTACCAAAATTATCTTCTTATACATATAAACAAACACAAAAAATCCAATAAATACAAGAAATTTAATTAAAATATTTACAACATTTCTTCCATCTCCAAGAAATTCAACCAAAGCCTCGTTGAAAACGAAGACACAAACAAATTGAAAATTGCACATCAACTAACAACGACTTTTAAATTGTTTCAGTGTAGCATCGAGATCATCGCAACATTCAAAACCCGATAATATAATTTAGTATAATAATTCGTTAATCAATGATTAAGTTCGATGATTGAGGAATTAACAAATCATTAAATTATATATATGAGCAGTAAATAGAGATAATTAAGAGAAAAAAAGAACAATCACCTTGGGGCTGGGAGTGAGAGCGAAGCAATGAGAGCGGGGTAAAGTGCAGCAGTCAAGAGGAGAATCGTATGACGCTACTAGCTATTGATTTGATTTGATTTTATAGAGAGAACAGACGTCAACGTAAACTACGTGTAAATTTCAATGGGAGAACTACACAACATCTCCTATGATTTGGCTTAATTTCATGAGATAGGCTCATAGTTTCTTAAATTATACTAACATCCCTATCATAGAAAAAGTTGATGACGGATTTTTCGTAATTTTAATTTTATTGTTGGCACCAAAGAGGCTTGATCCAAACTCATATTAAGACAAAAGCACACCACTTAATATTCTTTTCAAAAAATAAATAAATTTATAATATAAAATAGAACAAGTTTCAATAATTTCATCCAACGGTTTCAAATAGATTCATCCAACAATCACTAACATCCCTCTCAAAATCATTTATATATCATACTTTCAGCCACGAGTTACCTCAAATAAATAAATAAGATTGGTCATAGATAGATCGATCCAAACTTTGGATGGAGGCCCATGACTTGGCCATTTTCTTGGCCAAGTCCATGGGGCACAATTATTTATTTTTTATTATTTTAATAAAATTAGAAATTATTATGTATTATATTGTAAATTTTTAAAATAATTTATATAATAAAGTACAACGAATTATTAATTTTTTAAAAACATAAAAATTACTTTTATTTTTTGTAGTTTAGATCATTCTAAATTTGATATGTAGGCAAAGTGTAGATTTCCGCCTAAAAATTTGGGTTCCTGCCAAAACTATCTCTTAGAATTGAAAAATCTCCCAATTAATGCCCTACTTTCTTGCATTTTCCCACCCCATCTTTCATGCACCAGCATCCTCTCCTTTGCCTTCCTAACCTGCCCTGTCTTTCTTTCCTCCCTTGCAACTCTCTACACCACCAACTCTTCTCTTATTCCTAACCTCTCTCTTCTTTCTCCTCTATCATTTATCTTCTCCCTTATAACTCTTAGTAATGTCTCTACATCATCACAGCGACACAAACCTCGTCATAGCAACACCAACAACACAATCGCATCACACCAATAATACATTTAGTGGTAAAGGTGGAGGTAGAGTATAGAGATGGAAATGGAAGTGACGATCTTGTTGGTAAGAGTGTAGTTGGGAGGTGGCTTTGTTAGAGGAATTGATTTTACACATGGGTTTGCTTGTGCCTTATGGTGAACATAGATGTTATGGGTATAAAGAAGGAATGGTGATGATGATGGCAAGTTAGGTGATGGATGTGGATATGGTTTTGGAGGTAGAGGGTAGAAAAAGGCTTGGAGTGGGTAGGTTGACTTGAATAGGCTTGGTGGGCTCATCTCATCGATAGAGTTGAGAAGAAGTTCGGGCTTATATAAGGCTAGCAATGATAAATTATATATTTGAAAGAAAAAAAAAAGTAGACATCAACAATCACTTAATGAATGGACATCTTGTAAAATTCAACACTAAATCTTAGGGCACATAGTATAATTTTATAATCATGAAGGTATCCAATGAAAATAGGTACAAACCATGAGGGGGGCCAGTGTATTTATCCCAGATTTACGTGTTCAAATGCTACGTTTATAGCTCTCCATTTGGAAGATATTGATTGGGTGTGACAATTCCGTCAATGAACCTTTCATTGATATGGGTCCAAGTACACCAACTTGGCAGCTAGGAGATGAAACCTTGGCTCTTTGGGCACACAACAGTTGTATTTTAGGGGTCATATTTAGATCGAATATTTAAAACCTCATATTTATATGTGTATAGATAATTTGATACTACTATAATTTCAATATCTGCCACACATTTCGAAGTCTCTTTCAACATTTTTTTGTTTAAGATAATTGGTTGGTGTTAAATAAGACAACGCCGGACGGACAAGATGATGCGCTAGATAGAATAGTCGCTCTGGAGCAAATTCTCCGATTGGATCAATCCATATATGAAAGTTAAAAAAATCTCAAAGGTCTAGCCTAATAAAAGCCAGGTTTAATTGGGTTAGTTTTTTGATAAGAAAGATAATCACAAGAGAGAATGTCCTACTAATGAATAGATTAATCTACTAAGGTCAATAGAGGAAAAATCTACGGTATCGTTATCGATATCGTACCAAAATTATAGGTTTTTGAGCAACAATTATGTGTTCATCACTTTCTTTGCACCACATGATGTGACATAATCATAACTTTAAATACTCAATTAATTCAATAAAATTTATTAATTTAATGGTTTATATTAGAGTGGTGCAAGAAGGTAGTGTGTGAAGTATTGTTATTTTTTGATGTGTAAGATATAACTTGCAAAGGCATGATCGATCTTAAAACACTTCGATCGATTATGGAAATTACAACTCTCAAAGATTGAGTTAAACCTTTTAATGATCAAGTTATAATGCGTAAAGGAGAAATTATAAAGAAAATCTCATAATCGATCGTAGATTTTCCTTAACCAATTGTAACTTTACTTTTCAAATGTTCAACTTTACCATTAAAAATTGAAAATTTTGAGAGGGAATCAAATTTTTTAAAAATCAATTATTTTTTAACAAATTGGTTGATTTAGACACTATTTTTTTTTCCATAGGATTTGAACTGCTTAGGGATTTGCCCTATAAGACTCTGTATAATCAAGACTTCTTATTGTCAAATTTTGACCAAGAGCTAGTAGTTGGTCAACAAAGGTCCTAATTTTTTATTGTATAGAAAAATAAAGTAAAACTTTTTCGTAGTCTAATTGTTAAAGTAAGATAGGATGAGATAACACCAGGATTAGAATATTATTATCATGAGAGAGGTGGAACAAAAATTTCAATTTTTATCATTAATACTCATGAAAATAGGGGAAAAATGTGGGGAAAAAAAAAGACTCGCACAGTAGAATTAGCAAAACTTCTCATTTTATAGTGGTCAGAAAAATAGCACAAGATTTAATGATACACAAAATAGATATACAAAATAGACTTATACAAGATCAACAATCGAGTGAATAATATAAGAGAATTAATGAGCCAATTAATAAAATAACAAATGACAAAAAGGTAAATATTTGATTAACACACAAATATATAATAATTCGATTCGGGTGACCTATTCCACTTCGGAAAACGACAGCGGTGACCGAAGGACCTTTATTAATAAAGTAAAGTGAGAGAGAGAAAGAGTAAATGTTAGCTCTGGAAGAGGTATAATAGTTAAGAGAGAGAAAAACTATGTGAGCGGTGTGTAGAGAGGTGTCCCTCTCATATAGAAAGAACTTACAATTTTTAAGCACAGTGTCTTAGTTGAAGCGGTGACATGATGAGTAGGTTACTAGCTTCTCGGGGAGGATAACTACAACTAAAATAGTTACAATTATAGATAGACTTCATCTAGAGAGTAATTATCCCGACAATTGCTCGTCATGTGCGCTAATATTCCTAAATTCCTTGAATCTTGGACTGGACTGAGTCAATGAGTTGAGTTTGACCTCTCTTTTAGTTAATTTGGGTCTATCTCATTAATTGGGCTTGATCCAATAAAAATTGGGCTCATCAAGATCATCTATTTCTTGAGGAAGTTAAATTAACTTTATCTTAAATTTTTTCGCAACGACAGGTTCAAGTATAGTTTATCTATCACGTAGAATTTCATATATATGTACAAGTAATTGATCTATGCGATGCACATTGTTTACTTTTAGAAACTTTGTTCTAAAATTTAATAAAATCAATAATAGGAGAATTAAACATTTATGGAGAGAGAGTTCATATATATATATATATATATATATATATATATATATATATATATGCGCGTATATTGATATGTTTTACCTATTTAGGAAAGTAATAAGGAAAATGTCATTTTTATTTAATTTGGGAAGCTAATCAATTGTAATTGTATGATAAAAATGGGTCCCATTAATTATTGAAAATCATAACTTATCCAAGATCAATAATAAATTAGATTCTTAGATTCGATCATCTAGCATTGCTCAGAGTAATAAAGCTCATATATGATACACACTAAACAGTGAATATGGGCAGGCAAGATAAGGTAACCAGATGTTCTAAGTTTGAATTTTGGTTTAAATTATTAAAAATTTATCTTTCATAAATATTCTAGTTCTAAGTGAATAACCTATCTTTGACCGGACTAATGAAGGGATTAACTGAAACATGAGTAAACTGTTCCAAACATATCTGATGATTAAACAAAAACTAGAAGATAAGGTAACACATATGTACTAAGGTAACACATGTACTAATCCAGACCAACAAAACCTTATCCTCTCAAGCACCATACATTTCCTCCACACTCCAAAAATACTTCCCCCTACTCCTCAGTCAAAAAACATGGCAACTCTTCCTTTCACTACATCTCCTCCCTTCACCCTCGCCCCACCCAAAAAGCAAAGCAACCTCCCTGCTGCTGCCACAAAGCTAAATATCCCACGGTCACGGCCGAGCTTGAACTGCCGCTTATCGGGCATTGTCCGGTCATACAAAGTGCTAATTGAACACCAAGGTAAAACCACTGAGCTAGAGGTTGAGCCTGATGAGACAATTCTGTCCAAGGCATTGGACACTGGCTTGTCTGTGCCACATGATTGCAAGCTTGGGGTGTGCATGACTTGCCCGGCTCGCCTTCTTAATGGAACAGTTGATCAGAGTGAAGGTATGCTTAGTGATGATGTTGTGGAGCGTGGCTATACCTTACTATGTGTATCGTACCCTCAATCGGATTGTCACATTCGGACTATCCCGGAGGATGAGCTTCTTTCGCTGCAATTAGCCACTGCCAATGACTAAATTCAATGTAAAACAGTAATGCTTGAATATCAGTTTCGATTTTGCATTTCTGATAGAAAACAGTAATGTCTAGGAATTTTTCTGAGTGTCAAAGAGTACTATGTTGCTTATTTCTGCTGTTTCTGTTATTCTCTGCTACATTCATTACCATGCTTTCAGAGAAAATGTCGAGGCATAACAATTGGATGGACTTTTTTTTTGCTTTTTGGGCTAAGCAGTGGACATTTGCTCCCGAGTGCTTGGTCTATTCCTCTCGTCAAAGAGCAAATTCTACAAATGCTACCATCAAATAGCTGATCACAATGGTTTACTGAGATCATAGACCATTTTTTTAACTGGATTGAATGAGAATTGAAGGATGGTCCTAGCCATCTTGGGTATTTCCAAATGCTGCACATAGAAGCTGTCTGAACTCTGGTTAAGGTTTAAGATTTGAATGATTTTGCAAAAACATGGATTTAGAATGGTGGTCATTATATACCCCCCATGGATTCATAAGACTGGAGAATTTTTGCAAAATAAAATCTGACTTAGTCATAAATTGCAAATTTACAGTTACTCAGAAACCCACAACAAGAATGCTACCTAATGCGTTGATGAACCCATTCAGCTAGATTGTTTTATGCTCTGCTTGCTCCTTCGCCGCAACAACTGGAGTAGTTATATAGAATTTGTAATTTCCTTTTCCTTCCTCATCTGCTTAACCAAACTAAGCATTAAGCTCTCGTTTGCTTAGAGGAAAGTCCTTTTCTATCTGAAACAATGATGTGGTTGGCAATGAACAAGTAAGAGTGGAATGCAAGCACATCATGTAGCTCTAGCCTTAATCAACAATCTTCCACTAATATCTTCATCAGGATGACTAATACCATTGAAAAACTTGGATTTATAACCCCAAGTTTTACATGAAATATGGCTAACCCAATAGTGAAAGTTCCGTATCAAGCAGCCAACAAGTCAATAATGCTCCTAAGCTGTAGGTAGTAAGCCAGCTTTCTTGAATTTCCTTTGCTTGATCTTCACCTTAACATCAACACCATTATCAATGATGGACTGAAGTACAATCTGAAGCTTCCCTTCCAATTTCTCCCCTTTCCTAGGCGTATAAACCACATTATGGATATCATCAGCCAAGGCCCTCTGAGCCAATACTTCCCCAACAGCAGCACAAGCAATTCTATTCTTAGTCGATACCAGGTCAAATTTCATGTCCTTAGAAATAGTGTGCGCCACAGCAACAACATTGCTAGTCGCCCGGTGAATGATGCAGGCACGCACTGACGCCTTTGATATGTAAATGTCCAAGCAAAATGGCTCATGGTAAGGTGCTGTAAGCTGATTGAAAGTGGGAGTCCTTTGCTTCTTCCCAGCACCAGAATTGTCCACTTCATGAAATTGCAAAGTCAGATGGCTTTCCTTACCGACTTTGGGAAGTCTCTCCCCTCTGAGGGCAGAACTATGATTCACATCTTCCTTCTTGCTTTCTTTCCATTCATCTTTGTTCTTCGAAGATTTTTCGATTGGGGATGCCAAATTACGACTTAGGTTGTCATTCTTTTTTCTTTCTGATCGATCACCTTTCTTCTTTGCCGAATTCCTCCTGTGGAAGTCATAACTGTACTCTTCAAACTCTTTGGAACCCCTGTCAATCTTATAGAATAGATTGCCACGAACTCTCATATCCTCAATCTCATCGAAATCAGGGTCCTCCTTGTTTGGTGGTACATTGTTAAGCACTACCTCATCCTCCTCCGTAAATACAGCTTGTCTTTCCACCATCCCAGCAGTACCTCTCCACGCCTCGGCTAGTCCAGAAGAAACGTGCCAAGACTCATTATCCACAAGCTCGATTTTACAATCCTCCAAATGAGCTTTATTATCCGAGAACCATGGCGAAAGATGATGCCTACTGACGTAATTAGGAGACGTAATTCCCTTGTTATCATTCAATGATGCTTGTACTGCTTGATTTTCCAAACCAAGGACCCTTGAAGAAAAACCACATACCCGCAAAAGCAAATGACAATTCACCACTGAGGTTAAGGTGCTGACTCTTCTTAAGAACATAAATGTCATTTGGGTCACAGCTATAAAAGGGTCACTAACAGCTAAAAAAAAATTAACAAGAATGATTGAACTGATAAGGGTTAGAATTAAGGTTGCGTTATTGTTGGTTTAGGGTACCGTTCTTAGAGGCAAATCATCAAACAACTGGGATGCGAAAGCCAAACTTCTCTGCTACAACAGTAATTGGACTGTTTGAACTAGGATTCAATTGAGCAATGACAGCTGGACGACTCGTGGTCTGGACATCAAACGACGTTGTTTAACATGGGAAACTAATGAAGAAGATACCATACCAGAAGTTGTTGTTACATCGCTGAGAATAGTAAATGACTCAGAGGGGCTTCGAAATTGAATTGTACCAGAATGGAAGGGGGTCATTAACCCTAGGGTTCGGAAAAAAAAATAAGAGTTAATCTAATTTATCACGTGACAGTGTCATGTAGTATGCATATGCAATGAAAAATTAACACACAATTACCCTTTTTTCTAAAAAAATTCTGGCAAAATGATGAATGACAGATTTTGTTGAAAATGTTCAATTTCTCCTCGACATAGTAATGATAATATCAAATCAGTATTGATGACATAGTAACACTGATCAATAATAAAATTTTAAATGGATAAAATAAACCTTACTTAGATAGTTATTAGATTACATAGAAGAAAAATGAATAGTTATTGGCTTACATAAACTAATAATTATCAACTTATGTAAAATTCGTTTTTTTATTTGTTTACACGTTATTGGTTGGTGATACTACAAAATAATATTCACTTGTATCACCATTGCAATCTAGTTGACGATTCCTAAACCCTTTCACAAGTTTTTTCTGGTTTGAACTTTTTTTCAAATTGAATTTTAATGAATTATTAAGAGATATTAAAAATTCTATCCACATACTTTGAGAGCCCACGAGGAGAAAGGGAAAATTTGCAGGTAAAAAAAGGCAACATATGAGCTCAAACAATCTCCACCTACTAGGTTCGAGACAGGCAGGTTGCTTATGACAGAAAAATGAGTTTCAAGAGAACCAATACTTATCATACCATTTAATAATAATAGGACGGTATGGAACTTCTAAAGTTGCCATTTCAACAGTGACAATAAACAAAATCAAACCAAACCAATCCCAACTAAACCTTATGTCTCAATCATTTGAAATCTGAAATCAACTATATGAGTCCAGTTTCACCATTTCAACAGTGACAATAACCCTGCCAATTCCGACAGACGCAGACTATTCCCACTGCAGCTCTTACGTTCCAACTTGCATATCAGGAAAGCCCAGCTCCTGCGACACACGTTAATTAGCTGGACATCATCTATTCTGTGATCGAAACCACTCGGGAGTCGGGACTGGATGAAAGGGAGGGAGGGCCCTCAAACTCTATCAAATGCTATAAATCTTGGGTATATGAACTTGCAGAGTCCTACAATTCTTGCATTCCTGGTAACATGAAAGGTAAACTCGGGAACTAAACAGATAAAACCATATATCATACACAAAACAGCAGTCCTACTACACCCCATTACCATTGCTACCCTGAGTTGTTAAGCAACTTCCTTAATTACCTTTTCACAATCACCTAGTACTAAGACTTTAGTCAACATCAGAAATACAACCTGTTTCTTGACAAAGCAAGACGCAGGACACGGTTCAGAATCAAGGATTAACACACAGATATCGCTACCATTAAAAGGTTAGTGATTACAGACCATTTAGAAATATTTCAGATTGGGGTCACCATATCAGTTGTCACCATCTTCGAAGACCAGTCATCTATCGGTAATAAGCTTGCTGATAAGCTGGTGCCATAACATTTCCATATCCTCCGTATGCAGGATAGTTCATTGGTGCTCCTGGATATGGTCCAGCAATGGCAGGAGGGGCTGCTTCAGGTGAGTAAACATAGGGGTTGGATGGTGGGCTCCTGCTGCCATGGCCATACATAGCAGGTGATGCTGGATATGATGGAACCCCAGCAGTGTACTGAGCCTGAGAGGGAGACCTGACGAATGTGGGCCCTGTTGGGAAAGATGAAACATAAGCATTTGTCGAACGGCCAGCCTTTGCTGGGGGCATGGGCCCACCATTGCTGGCTCGTGTTCGTTTATTGGCAGGGACTGCAGCAGCAGGCCTTTTCTTCTCACCCTTTGTCTTCTCTAACTGTTCAAGGCGCTTTTTCAGATTTTCTGGGGGGAACTCAGTCTCGAGTTTATACTCTTCGATGCACTTGAGGACCGCGCGGAGTGCTGACTGCTCTTTCTTTGCAGCTAGGTGCTATATATTAACCAAAAAACAAAAGAAGAGAAAAGAGGAAAGAACCAGCCTTCAGTATCTCCTATTGAAATCAAATAGAAAAAGACCAAACATGATATTATTTCACACTTGTTTAAAATATTAACCAATCTGTGAAAAGCCCGATTCACCTAACATGATGAATGACAAATCTTAGACATAAGGTCTGTGAAATACAAATTTGATGCAACTAGCAAAAAACCAAAATGCTATCATACTTTAGCAAGATAATGGAATGTGTGGGATGAAATTTGTCTCTCCCACCCTAGGAGTTTACTTCATGTATGCAATTCACAATTAATATTTGTCACCAAGTTTCTCACAAAAGGAGAATTCAGTGCTTGGTGCAATGCGATACAGACATATAACTTGCAAAAGAGTAAGAACCACAAATACTTCTTATAAGTATACAACCACAAGCTAAGCCCAACACCAACAGGATGAGAAGGGAGCAGGGCAACTAGCAGGGAAGGAAGCATATGGCATTCAACCCAACAACGAATCAAGTAGGTAACACACTGATATATACAATGAAAGCATATTCATCTGGAATTCTGGATGAATGCAATAAAAAGATACCGCAGCTCTCCCGGAATTGTTGGGATCCTCCAAAATAGACGTTGCAGCCTTTTTGGCATCTTTCAGAAAAGCTTTCAGAAGGGGAACAGGGGGGAACTTGTCCACAAGGCCAACTTCATAAGTAAAATGCACAGCATCAACCTGCTGTCCCCTGCTAATTAATTCTTCAATCATATCTGCACACAAGAGAATAAAACAAGCCAAAACTAACTTATAGGCATCTATCATTACCAACTGAATTTGAAACATGTCCAATAAATCAAGAGAATGGCCCCCACCATATAGGAAGCTATGCTACCAAAATATTTATACATGTCCGCTAAGTCAAGAGAATG